GCCCTATTTCGGCGTTGTGTCGACATGCGTCGCTACGTGTCGCTCCCCAGCACCCCAGCGCACCGCCCCCTCCGCCCCGACGACTTTATTTCGGCGTCGTCGTCGCCCCCCCCCCCTCTCCCTCTCCTCAGCAGCCCAGCGCGCTGCCCCCTCCGCCCCGACCACTTTATTCTTAGGCTTACGCCACACCGCCGACCCCTTGTTTATGCCAACCTGGGGGTAGTAGAAGCTGCGAAGGGGTGAAAAGGCGAGTGATATTTGTTTGGTGTCTGTTCGCCGCCACCGCCAGAGGGTCTCGGGCAGTTCCGCGGGGGGGTCCGAGCGGACGGCGACACCGCGAGTTTGGGAACCACTTGGGGGCCGTTTCGGAGCCTCTGGGGTGCTTTTTGGGGGTTCCTTGGGGCGTCTGGGCGGCCTCGTGAGGGCCTCTGGGGGCCTCTTGGGGCACTCTTGGGGCCCCCTGGGGCTCCTGGGGGCAGAAAGCTAGAGTTTCAACATGTTTGGTCGCCCTCTTGGGCCCCTTTTGGTGCCGTCTTGGAGCCCTCTTGGGCCGTCTTGGGGACCTCTTGGGCCGTGTTGGGGCCGTCTGGAGGCCGTCTTGGGGGCCTCTTGGGCCATCTTGGGGCTGTCTTTGGGGCCTCTTTGGCCGTCTTGGAGCGTCGGGAAACCGAAAAGGCGGAAAAACAAAAAACAACGAAAAACACTATGGACAATCAACAATTTTAGACTCTTGGGCCCTCTTGGGAGGCTTGTTTGGGACCTCGGGGGCCGTCTTGGAGACCTCTTGGCCCGTCTTGGGGCCATTTTGGGCGTCTTGGAGCGGTCGTTTGGCGTCTCGGGGCCTTCGTGGGCCGTCTTGGAGGCCTCTTGGGGGCTTCTTGGCCCGTCTTGAGGCCCTCTCGGGCCCGGAAAAGCCCCGTGAACCGCTCGTCCCGGCCGTGCTGCGCTCGTGCCGGACCCCCCCCCCCTCCAAATCGACCGGACCGGGCTCCCGGGGGAGGGGTTTGGGGAGGGGGAAGCATCTCACACGCCGATGATCCCCAAGGGGTCGGCGGATTTCGGCGTCGTCGTCGCTCCTCCCCTTGTCCTTTTCCCCAGCAGCCCAGCGCGCCGCCCTCTCCGCCCCGACCACTTTATTTCGGCGTCGTCGTCGCCCCCCCCCCCATCCCCCTCTCCCCAGCAGCCCAGCGCGCCGCCCCCTTCGCCCCGACCACTTTTATTTTCTTGCACAGCTGTGCTCTAGAGCTCGGACCTCTTTATTTTCGTTCGTTCGTCGTCGTCCCCGGCCCCTGGTCCGGTCCCGACCCTGGACCCAACCTCCCCCCCCCGTCCTGGCCTCAGCCCCCCTCGCCCCGCTGGCCCTGGCCCTGGACCCAGCTTCCCCCCCACCCGGCCCTGGCCCCAGTCCCCGTCGCCTTGGACTCTTTATTTTCGCTCGTCGTCGTCCCTGGTCCGGTCCTGGCCCTGGACCCAACCTCCCCCCTGGTCCTGGCCCCAGCTCCCCTCGCCCCGCTGGCCCAGGGCCTGGACCCAGCCTCCCCCCCAACGGCCCTGTCCCCAGTCCCCCTCGCCCTGGACCCTTTATTTTCGTTTGTCGTTGTCCCTCTGGTCCCGGCCGTGGACCCAACCTCCCCACCTGGCCCTGGCCCCAGCCCCCGTCGCCCCGCTGACCCTGGCCCTGGACCCAGCCTCCCCCCCGGCCCTGGCCCCAGCCCACCTCGCCCTGGCAACCCTTTATTTTCGCTCGTCGTCGTCCCTGGCAGCTGGTCTGGTCCTGGCCCTGGACCCAACTCCCCCCCTTGCTGGACCCTTTGTTTTCGTTCGTCGTCCCTGGTCCGACTCTGGCCCTGGACCCAACCTCCCCCCCTGGTCCTGGCCCCGTGGAGCCCCCCTCGCCCCGCTGGGTCCCTGGTCCGGTCCTGACCCTGGACCCAACCTCCCCCCCTGGTTCTGGCCCCAGCTCCCTTTGCCCCGCTGGCCCAGGGCCTGGACCCAGCCTCCCCCCCGCCGGCCCTGTCCCCAGTTCCCCTCGCCCTGGACCCTTTATTTTCGTTTGTCGTCGTCCCTCTGGTCCTGGCCCTGGACCCTGCCTCCTCCCCTGGCCCTGGCCCCCCGCCCCCCTTGCCCCGCTGGCCCTGGCCCTGGACCCAGCCTCCCCCCCCCCGGCCCTGGCCCCAGTCCCCCTCGCCCTGGACCCTTTGTTATCTTGCGCAGCTGTGTTCTAGAGCTCGGACCTCTTTATTTTCGCTCGTCGTCGTCGTTCGTTCGTCGTTCGTCCTCCCCCCGGCGGCCACAAAAATAAACTCCTGGAGGAAGGAGGCGAAAGCCTCCTGTCTCTCGCGGCTCCTTAGTGCAAGAGCCAGGGCACGCGTGCCACTTGTATTATTTATCAGGTTTCGTGCCCCTCCCGCCACTCCAGGGAGGCCCCGCCTGAGCGGGCAGGGTATTCGCACGCCATAGTTTATTATTAGGTTTCGTGTCGTTCCCGCCCCTCCAGGGAGGCCCCACCAGAGCGGGCAGGGTATTCGCACACCATGTTATTTATCAGGTGTCGTGCCCCTCCCACCCCTCCAGGGAGGCCCCACCAGAGCGGGCAGGGTATCCGTACACCATATTATTTATCAGGTTTCGTGCCCCTCCCACCCCTCCAGGGAGGCCCCACCAGAGCGGGCAGGGTATTCGCACACCATATTATTCATCAGGTTTCGTGCCCCTCCCACCCCTCCAGGGAGGCCCCACCAGAGCGCAGACAAGAAGCAATGGAACCCCGTAACATCTTTATGTGGGGAACCCCGTCAGCATAATTTGTTTGTTAAGTTCACCACTACTCCGCCTTCTTTCACCCTCACCTCTTTTCACTTGCATGACCTCCTCTAGGCGACTCGCGCAACAGCAACCTTGAAACGATGGGCTTGCGCTCGCCGTGTGTGAGTTGGCTCGGGCGACTGGAGGTTTGGAGGGGCATTTGAAGGAGAGTGGTTGCTATCTCGGCCCCCCTTGGACGCAGGCGGTTCGTCTAACTGTATGCGCGGAGCGTGAGCAGATGGCACTGGCCCCGTTGCCCTGGCCACGCGGAGTCCCCGTGCTCACCGAAAAAGATGCAGCAGGCCCAGATCATGCGCGACCGAAAATGTTGGGGTAGCGAAGCGCGCTACCGGTCTTTCCGCCGCGACCGAATTATTCGGTAACGGTTATTGGTCGCGACCAGTAACCGTCGGTAACGGTTACTGGTCGCGACCGATTTTTTCGGTCGCAACCGATCAGGGCGTCAGAGCCCGACGTCAGATTTTTGTCTGGTTAGTTGTGTGCAAGAACTACATTACACAACAACATACAATACCATACAACAAATACAATAACAACAGCACTGCAACAACCTACTACTACTACTACTACTACTACTACTACTACTACTACTACTACTAATATTATTATTACTACTACTACTACTACCACTACTACTTCTACTACTTCTTCTACTACTACTTCATCTACTACACTTCTACTACTACTTCTACTTCCACTCCTCCTCCTCCTCCTCCTCCTACTACTACTACTACTACTACTACTGCTACCACTTCTTCAAGGACACATGATGGTTTTGGATGTCTTATGCTGATGTATGTTGTTAGCTGCATGATGATGCATATGATGCTGTGGACCTAATGATGGCCTGGGCTGTTAGATGTATGATGTCAGATGTAGGGTTCGCGTTCACGTCTGTACGATCGAGAATGCAGGAGGGCCGGTTCAGAGCTCGCCTGTCCCCGGCCATGGGGACGCCACTACGCTGGGTGCGCTTCAAAGTTCTATGCGGCGTTCGCCTGGACCCCTCCAGGGCCCTCGCGCGTCTGTTTGGCCACCCCCCCTATAGGCCTCAGCGAATCGGACGCGCCTCGGAATTCAATGGAGGGGTGGAGAAGGGAGGGGAGGAGGAGGAAGAGGAGGAGGAGGACGACGACGAGGAGGAGCAGCAGGAAAAAGGAGGAGAAGGAGGAGGTGGAGGAGGAGCCAGGGTCACCATCAACATCATCCGCCTTATCATCTCCGTCGTCGTCATCTATAGCATCAGCGCCGCTGTTACCACTCACCGCCACCAGCGCCATCAGCATGATAGGCCCCCCCCCATCCTTTTCCTGCTCTACACTTCCAGCCTTCCCTCCCCGCTCCTCCCATCCTCCTATTCCCACTAGCTCCTCCACCCAGCCTTCCTATGATCAGGTCGCGCGCATCCTCCTACAGGGGGATTTTTGTTGACGAAACATTTTCAATAGCCCAACGGAGTCTCCAAACAAGTGCGCGCACCTTATGGAAAACAAAGGTTCCTGTACCCCTTTGTTTGGCCATGTTTGCATAATCCTTTTGTAAAAAGACAAGCCCGACCTAATCTTAGGTCGAGCACGTCCTCATGCAGGCGGATTTGGGGCGAACAATCAAACAGACCCCAAACATAATTAAAGCGATACGCGAAGGTTGTCGAGAGAGCGCCCCCATACGATTTATTTACTATCAACCGTGTGGGTGCCCGTGGGCTTGCAACTTTCTTCGGATCGCATGGGGCCCTGTGGATCTGGATTGGAATTGGGGTTGGGTCTCCCTTGAGATCCGATGGGGTCCTCTGGGGGCAGGGGGGCCCTTATGGGGCCTCTAGGTTTCGGAGGGGGGGGGGGCTCGTGCCCCCCCGCCCCTGGGCTTGCGCTTGAGGTCGTTCAGACTTGCGGGGCCAGCCAGGCCCCGCGTGGGCTAACCAAAACCCACCCTCATCTCCTCCTCCTGACTCCCCTGGGGCCGCTCGCTGAGTCGCTGGAAGGAGGAGAGGGGGGGGGATGGGGGATGGGGGGGGGGAAGGAGGAGGGGGGCCCCTCTCCTTCTCCCCCCCCAGCCATTTTGGCCCCATGGCGGCTCGCCGCGCGTTGCCCTCGCCCGCGCCCCCCTGCCAGAGGCGAAGGCCCTCCCCGAAAGATGTCGGCGCGATCCGCCGCCCAGTGCCGCCCCTGGAGGAGGGCGGCCAGGGCCTCGAGGAGGCCCTCCTGGAGTGCGTCTCGAACGTGGGCGCCAAGCTCTCGTTCCAGATCGGGTGGTATCACCACCTGACGAAGGACAGGGCCGTGCATGGCCCGTCCTTGGCGCGCGACCCTGCGCTGGTCGGCCCGCGGCGGGTGAAGGGTCGGTTTGGGTGCAGTCAACGCGCATAGTAAGGACAAACGAGTTTTTCAAGGGTACCCTTGGGTCCTTGCCTGCCTCTGCCTCTGCGGCCCGCCCCTAGCAGTTTTCGCGGGCCAGTATCTCAGGTTCCCCGGGGGTGTGGCCGCCAGCCGCCCAGAATACTTCAACTTCGGCCTCCAAGGGTCTTGCATCCTTACCACCCGTCCTTACTATGCTTTTTCACTGTGCCACCCCGATGCCTTTGGAACACCCACCCTGGTGTTTTGGAACGCCCGAGTTCGCGTGACCCCGTCGTGGCCCCATGCGGTGCCCCACCGACTGCCCCGGTGACAAGGCTCGCCCGTGCCCCCCCCCCCGCGATTCGACTTCGCCGTGCGCACATGGATCGCGACTCCCCCTTGGGTCGCGACCCCCTTGGATCAAGACCCGAAATGGAACGAATTACAACCGACTGGTCCCAATTCCAACCGTTCGGACCGAATTGCAACCAGAATCGAGACCAATTCCAACCACAAATGAGACCAATTCCAACCCAACCAAAAATGAGACCAATTGCAACCACGGATGGGATCTTCGGAATTCCTCCGGATCCCTTCGAATTGTTCGGAATTCCTCCGGATTCTTTAGGACTCCTTCGGAATTCCTTAGGATTCCTTCGGAATTCCTCAGGATTCTTTAGGACTCCTTCGGAATTCCTTGGGATTCCTTAGGAATTCCTTCGGATTCCTTCGGAATTCCTTAGGAATTCCTTAGGATTCCTTCGGAATTCCTCAGGATTCTTTAGGACTCCTTCGGAATTCCTTGGGATTCCTTAGGAATTCCTTCGGATTCCTTCGGAATTCCTTAGGAATCCTTTGGAATTTCCTCGGGGATCCTTCGGATTCTTTCGATTCCTTCTGAATTCTTCGGATTCCGTTGGATTCCTCCTTCAGGGATTTTTTGGATTCTCCTTCGGAATTCCTTTTGGATTCCTCCTTCGGATTCTTTTGAATTCCTCCTTCGAATTTCCTCCTGATTCCTTCGGATTCTTCGGAAATTCTCCGCCTTCGCTTCTGATCTTCAAAATGTCTTCGAATTCCACTACTACTACTAACTCTACTACTGACTACTAATACGACTACTACTAGCCGACTTACTACTACGACTAAGCGACTACGACTACGACTACTACTACTACTACTACTACTACTACTAACTACTAACTACTACTACTGACTACTACTCAGTACTACTACTACTACTACTACTACTAGCACTACATCACTACTACTACTATTATTACTACTACTATACTACTATTACTACTACGATACTACTACTACCTACTACTACTACGACTACTACTACTACTATAACTCCTACTAATACGAGTACTAGTACCCAGTACTATTACTCAGTATATAACTTGTTACTAGTACTAGTACTTTTAGTTAATATTACTAGTACTAGTACTAGTACTAGTACTAGTTCCAGTAGTGGTACTACTACTACTACTACTACTACTACTTCTTCTTCTTCTACTACTACTGCTACTACTACTACTACCACTACTTCTACTACTACTACTACTACCACTACTACTACTACTACCACTACTACTACTACTACTAGTACTACTACTACTACTACTACTACTACTACTACTATTACTACTACTACGACTACTACTACTACTACGACTACTACGACTACTACGACTACTACGACTACTACTACTACTACTACTACTGTTACTACTACTACTACTACTACTACTACTACCACTACTACTACTACTACTACTACTAATATTACTACTGCTGTTACTACTACTACTACTACGACGACGACGACGATTACTACTACCATTATTTCTACTACCATTACTATTAGTTCTACTACTACGACTACGACTACGACTACTACTATTACTACTACTCCTATTATTACTATTACTACTATTACTACGACTACGACTACTACTACTACTACTACTACTACTACTACTACTACTACTACTACTACTACTACTACTACGGCTCCGCCCCCTCGTAGCTGGTTGGCAGTTGATTGGTGGCCTGGTTGGCTGGCTGGCTGGTTCTTTGGCTGGTTGGCTGCTTGGTTGGCTCGCTGGCTGGTTGGCTGGTTGGTTGCCTGCCTAGTTGGTTGGTTGGTTTGTTGGTTGGCCTACAGGCGTGCGCCATCTCACATGCCGAGGGGCCCGTCCGCTCGCGGACGGCATTTTTGCGTACCATTACTACCACTACTACTACGACCACGACCAGGACTACGACTACGACTACAACTACGGTTGCTACTACTACCACTACCACCACCTATTACTACTACTACTATATACTCTGTATACTGGGATGTGTAAGGACATGTGCGTGTACTACTACACTACTACTACTATTCCTACTACTACTACTCCTACTACTACTACTCTTACTCTTACTCTACTACTACTACTAGCTACTACTACTACCACCACCACTGTCTAACCTACTACTACTTCTAGTTTTCTTACTGCTTGTACGTAGTACTTGTACTAGTACTAGTACTAGCTACTACTACTGGCTAATACTACTGTCTACTAGCTACTACTACTACTCTAATCAAGAAACTACTACTATACTACTACTACAACGACTACTACTGAGTAGTACTTGTATACCTATGTACTAGTAGTAGTATGTTTGCTAAGCTACTAACTACCTGCCGCTACTTGACTACCACTGCTACGGACTGACTACTACTACTACTACTACTTACTGCTACTGCTACTCGATTACTAGCTACTACTACTATACTACTAACTACGACTACTACTACTACTACTACTACTACTGACGACTAATACTACTCTACTACTACTAACTACTACTACTACTACTACTACGAACTACTACTACTGTTACTACTACCACTACTGACTACGCGACACGACACTACTACTACTGACATAGTTCTCTACTTACTATTACTACTACTACTGCTGCTAAAACTACTACTACTACTACTACTACTACTACTGCTACTACTACTACTACTACTACTGCTGCTACTACTGCGAGTACGGCTACTACTACTACTACTACTATTACTACTACTACTACTGCTACTACTACTACTGCTACTACTACTACTACTACTACTACGGCTCCGCCCCCTCGTAGCTGGTTGGCAGTTGGTTGGTGGCCTGGTTGGCTGGCTGGTTGGTTCTTTGGCTGGTTGGCTGCTTGGTTGGCTCGCTGGCTGGTTGGCTGGTTGGTTGCCTGCCTAGCTGGTTGGTTGTCTGGTTGGTTGGCCTACAGGCGTGCGCCATCTCACATGCCGAGGGGCCCGTCCGCTCGCGGACTGCATTTTTGCGTACCATTACTACCACTACTACTGCGACTACGACCACGACCCGGGCTACGACTACGACTACAACTACGGTTGCTACTACTACCACTACTACTACTACTACTACTACTACTACTACTACTACTACTACTTCCACTACTATTACTACTACTACTACTACGACAACTATCACTACTCCTCTTACTACTACTACTACTACTACTACTACTACTACTGTTACTACTGCTACTACTACTACTACCACTACTACTACTACTACTACTACTACTACTCCTACTACTACGACTACTACTCGTACTAGTACTAGTAGTACTACTACTACTACTACCACTACTACTACAACCACTACTACTGCTACTACCACTACTACTGCTACTACTACTGCTACTATACTAGTACTAGTACTACTACTACGACTATTACTACTACTACTACTACTACTACTACTACTTGCTACTACTACTATTACTACTACCACTTACCACTACTACCACCACCACAACCACCACCACCACCACTACTACTACTACTCCTACTACTACTACTACTACTACTACTACTATTACTACTGTTACTACTTCTACTGCTGTTAGTACTACTACTACTATTACTATTACTACTACTACTAATACGACTATGACGAATTGTAGTACGACTGCTACTACTACTGCTACTACTACTATTACTACTACTACTACTCCTACTGCTACCACTACTACCAGTACTACGACTCGTACAACTACTACTACTACTACTACTACTACTACTACCACCACTACTACTACTACTACTACTACTACTACTACTACGACTACCACTACTACTACTACAACTACTACAGCTACTACTACAACTACTACCACGATTACGACTACGACACCGACTACGACTAATACTATTATGACTACTACTACTCTCACTACTACTACTACTACTACTACTACTACTACTACTACTTTTGCTACTACTAGTACTACGACTCCTACTACTACTACTACTACTATCACTACTACTACTACTACTACTGTCATGTTTACAACTAAGACTACTACAACTACGCCTACGACTACGACTACTTCTACTGCGGCTACTACTACCACCACTACTCCTACTACTACTACTATTACGACTACTACTACTATCACTACTACTACTACTACTATTACTACTACGACTACTACTACGACTACTACTACTACTGCTACTACTATAACTATTTATTTCATTATTACTACGAGTATTATTACTACTACTACTACTACTGCTACTACCGCTACTACTACTACTACTACTACTGCTACTACGACTACTATATTATTATTTCGACTGCTACGACTACTACTACGACTACTACTACTACTAATATTGTTATTTCCACTACTACTCCTACTACGACTACTACTACTACTACTACTACTGCTATTACTGCCACTATTGTCAGTTTTTCGAATGCTACTACGACGGCTACTACTACTACTACTACTACTACTACTACTACTAGTGCGACGACTAGTACGACTACTACTACTACTACTACTACTATTACTACTACTACTACTACTAGTACTACTAGTACTACTGGTACCACGACTACGACTACTACTGCTACTACCACTACTACTACAACTTCTACTACTACTACTAC